TGACCTCTATCTCTGAAACCAATAATACATTATATGTTAATTAATTGCATTTAAATTTAAAAAATCATTAGAGATAAAAACTTTTTGAGACTGCTGTGGTGAAACGTGGGTCAAAACAAATGAATAATTATGTTAGCATGGTTGAGGACTAGCCTGTTTTGTTTTTTTTTTTTTTTTTTAAGATTTTATTTATTTGACAGAACGAGTGAGAGACAGCGAGAGCAGGAACACAAGCAGGGGGAGTGGGAGAGGGAGAAGCAGGCTTCCCGCTGAGCAGGGAGCCTGATGTGGGGGTCAATCCCAGGACCCCGGGATCATGACCTGAGCCGAAGGCAGACGCTTAACAACTGAGCCACCCAGGCGCCCCGAGGACTAACCTGACTTTTTAGAGCCCCCAGTTTCCTCATATAGAAAGTGGGGATAATACCATCTACTTTCACTTGATTGTTGTCAGGTTTAAATAAAAATTACATTAATGTGTGTGATGCATTCAAATAACAACAGAGACTATCTCCAGTGCTTCAAATCTATTAGATCTATTAATGTCCTGTTCACAATGTTGCACCTTAGTACAAACCCTACACCATTCCTTTTAACATTCAAAGAAAACTTACTGAGCACCAGTCAGATACTGACAACTCCACCATGAAGTCAGCTCTGACTAGACCAGCCAGATCTGCTTTCATTTTGGGAACTCCCTAACGCCTGACCATTCATTTCAGCACTTACTCAGTTATAATTCCGTAGCAATGCTTTGTGTGTGCTTCCCACCCATAAAACTTGTCACTGAAAGGACAGAAAATGGTGTGTTTTTTCTTCAGTATTATCACAATGAAGGTCATACTTAATAAGTAACTAAGAAAAGAGTCCTTCTGGACTCTGGCTCTGGTTTTGCTCAAAGCTCAGCTCCTTAATCAATGCATCTGTTTTACAGCCTACTGTATAGCCCGGTATAGTACTGGTTTTCAAACCATTTAACAGCAGCATCTTTTCAAGAAATAAAATCAATACGTAACATCGATGCAAGCAGATCAGCTCTGGTTAAAATGAGAGCAAGGCCGGAAGTACCAACCTGACATCTGCCCCCAGCTGTCATCCCCCTGTGGTACCCTATACAGAATCCCTGATCTATCTAGAACCAGTGTGAATACCTATGCAGGAGTAAGTACCAGCTCTGACACTAACAAGGTTACCTGATTAATTTGACCCTTTCCCTCCATCTGCTTTCCAAAATCCCTCTAGTTTTACTCCCTAGACAGGAAAGTCTCCAGGCTTAAAAGAAATGTCTTGAACACCGGGGGATAATTTTTTTAAAACCAGAGTTCTAGAGCAATGCTCATACCAAGAGTGCACAACTTAATGGGACCACACTATTTTTTTTCCTTCTTATTTTAACAAGTGTTAAACTTCTGAAAGCAGGGGCACTTGGGTGGCTCAGTCGTTAAGCGTCTGCCTTCGGCTCAGGTCATGATCCCAGGTCCTGGGATTGAGCCCCACACTGGGCTCCCGCTCAGCGGGGATCCTGCTTCTCCCTCTCCCACTCCCCCTGTTTGTGTTCCCTCTATTGCTGTCTCTCCCTGTCAAATAAATAAATTAAAAAAAAAAAAAAAACTTCTGAAAGCAAAGCAAAGCTAAAATAACACCCTGAGCAATTAGAGGAGAAGCTGGGACAAAGAGACATTCTAAGTGGCTTGTTAAATTTGTAAAGAACAGTCCTCACAATATGCTTCCTTATATTCATCATCAGTCAGGAATGATTGTACAAAAATTCTATCAACACCAAGACTCATCGTTTTGTTGCTAAAATAAATCCAGACAAGAGCAATGGACTTAGTGTAGGCACTTGAATCAGAATTTTTTTTAGCATTCAGCACCAACAGAAACACAGTCAGTGGGCCTGAGATAAGTGAAAACAGAAGTTGCCATAGTAACTTGCACATTTACCCTAAAAAGGCAGGAGTGGGGGTGGGGTGGGGAAGTAGGTCAATATTTCTACTTCTCTAGTCCTTGGCTTCCTCTCACTGAAAGCAGCATCCTCCTATCTCCCCATCCCTAACGGGAACAAGAGGGGAAAAAGTCAGATAAGCATTTCAGAATGCAAGGGGTGGGGAGAGGTCCAGGTGGAGGGAAGGAGAACGAAGAGGAGAGCCCACTGAAAACCTCACCAGTGCCCGGGGACTACCCCTGGGAAAGCAGCTGCTGATCAAGGGAACCAGTGCTAAGAAACTGTTGCTGGGTTACTGCAAATCAGAAATTGCCATTTTCCCTGTAGCAGTTTGAGTGCACCTAATGGAACACTTGGGAACGCATTATTAACAGCTTTGAGTTTAGGGTAGTGGTGGGGAGGGAGTACTCTGGCATGGGAGAAACCCGAGGCCCTTTGCAAGAACGCCTCTTTGCAAGAGGCATTCTTTGATGGTTGAAACTACAAATAGGGCTCAGGCATGGCCTAAAAGACAGGGAGGGAGAAGGTTCCTTTTCAAAATAAGCTAATTCTGCTAACACAGAAACACAGTGCCCTTTGATATTTTGATCTGAAATGGCTACTAATCGAAGAGGGCAAAGGTAACTCTGGGCTCTGAGATGGCATGGAAAGTGCCAGAGCCCATTATAAGCTCTTCCACCTGCGGTGCCAACAAATGCAGGAAGCAGATTAAGCAAAAAGCATTTGGAAACAGGCGCAGTTCCACCTTCCTGCAACTATTAGTATCCTCACAGGGATAACCCAGTGTCTACAGAGGGATAACCTAGGGCATTACTAATGATTTTAACAATTTGGTGTGAAAACCCCAATATTCTAGAAAATGACAGAAAGGATAATCCTATAGGGGGGTAAAAAAAATTAGGACCATCTTTTTAAACAGTGGACATTTCAAACACTGACCTCTAGTTTCCCTACTGCATTGTACAGAGGTATAGACTTCTACATGATAGGTCATTCAAACTTGACTGGGAAACACATTTCTTTCTTTCTTTTTTTTTTTTTTTAAAGATTTTATTTATTTATTTATTTGTCAGAGAAAGAGAGAGCTAGAGCACAAACAGGGGGAGCGGCAGGCAGAGGAGAAGCAGGTCCCAGCTGAGCAGGGAGCCCGACGTGGGGCTTGATCCCAGGACCCTGGGATCATGACCTGAGCCGAAGGCAGACGCTTAACCGATGAGCCCCCCAGGTGCCCCTGGGAGAGTTCTTTCAACCCAGCAGCACACCTAGTAGCAAAGTGCAGAAAGGACAGGCTGAGTTTTCAATGTGAGCCCATGTATTCAGAAGCATCTGCAAACTGTTGTGGTTCTGCACATGTCTCTACTGCTCTAGACACAGCAACATTTAAGATGACTTGAAAGACCAAGTGCAACTAAGCCTTTGGGAGAGGAGCACCCAGAACACGCGTATTGTATGGACAGGGGGTCAGAAAGCTGGAGGACCAGGTACCAGGCCCCCACAAATACTACGGGAGTACAGCGCTGAGCAATGTATGCATAAACTTAACATGGAACCATGGCTCCAGCAAAAAGGTTGATCACTCTTGTGAAGGAACTTTGAGAATAAACAGATGCTATTCTATTACCACCTCTCAGTACAGCCCAGAAAAATTATTCAGTCTAACCAGTTCAGAAGTATTTTTCCTTTATCCACAACAGCACAGAGGACAAAGAGAAGTTGGTATAACAAATTATTATTATTTTTATTATTATGTTATGTTAATCACCATACATTACATCATTAGTTTTTGATGTATAGAACAAATTATTTTTTAAAACATTCTATTCCAGGGGCACCTGGGTGGCTCAGTCGGTTGGGCATCTGCCTTAGGCTCAGGTCATGAATCCCAGGACCCTGGGATCGAGTCCCGCATTGCATCGGGTTCCCTGCTCAGCAGGGAGTCTGCCTCTCCCTCCCTGTCTGCCCCTCCCCGCCGTTTGTGCTCTCTCTCTCTCAAAATAAATAAAATCTTAAAAAACAAAAACAACAACAACAAAAACATTCTACTCCAGAAAATGTTCAAGCTTATTAAGCAGATGCAAAGTAGAGAGACTAGAATAATGACCTATTACCCAGCTTCAAAACTGACCAATATTCTACTGGTAATTTTAAAGCTAACACAGAACCTTTTACTGGAATGATCCTTGAATGTTACATATCAAAAGCCTGCAACCCCAAATAGCAATTTCTGTATTCCCCAATAACCCCAGGAAACAGCTTCTCTATGAAAGTATCAAACTAAACAGACTTCAATTTCAGTCCTTAAGGAATATCCAACAGAATAATTATATTTGCAAGGTGTTTCTACAGGTTATATTACCTGAACTTTTAATTCCCGAAAGACACACTTCTTTTTTTTTTTTTAAAGATTTTATTTATTTATTTATTTATTTTTTTAAAGATTTTATTTATTCATGAGAGACAGAGAGAGAGAGAGAGAGGCAGAGGGAGAAGCAGGCTCCCAAGGAGCAGGGAGCCCGATGCGGGACTCGATCCCAGGACCCTGGGATCATGACCTGAGCCGAAGGCAGACACTTAACCATCTGAGCCACCCAGGCGCCCGAAAGACACACTTCTAATTCATTTATATCTGCTGAGCAAGAATGTGTTGCACAAACCCAGAGAAAGGCTCCATGGTCACCAAAGTCAGCCTTCTAGGACTTTTTTTTTTTTTTAAGATTTTATTTATTTATTTGACAGAGAGAGACACAGCGAGAGAGGGAACACGAGCAGGGGGAGTGGGAGAGGGAGAAGCAGGCTTCCCGCTGAGCAGGGAGCCCGACGTGGGGCTTGATCCCAGGACGCTGGGATCATAACCTGAGCTGAAGGCAGATGCTTAACAACTGAGCCACCCAGGCGCCCCAGGACTGTCTTATTTCACAACCATTTCCCATTCTGAAATAAGCATTTGGGGCAAACTTCAAGGAAACCAAGGCAGTACAGATTTAGTTCATTTGTGATCTACTAAAACCCATCACGTGCTGGAATTTGGAGAAGCTAAAGCAAAGTCTTTACTTACTGGTACTGTAACATCATCATAAAAACTCCAAGCTAAAGCCCATCTCATTGTCCGACCTTGACAGAACTCAGTGTAGGTAACTTTAGGAACCTGAAACCAACAAACATGTCATCTTATCAAACTGAAGTAATTCTACCAGTATGTTTTGGGTTGTTGCCTCATGTTAATTATATGTTGGTTTTTCTTTTTATCAGTTAACAAACAACTACTATCCCAAAACAGTTATGCATAGCTATCTAAATTATCTCCCAACAAAGTTGTGTTTTGTTTGTTTTTTTTCTCTCCTAAAACATTAGACAGAATTTAGAGTTCTGGTTTCAAAGTCCAAATATTCAAAATACCCAAAATAACACAGCTCTTCAAAGAACCACTGGTAAATGATTCAAATGGTTTTTTTCTTTTCTTTTCGGAAAGAGAGCCACGGAAAGCCTAGCTAGATACAGCTATGCAGTCTCCCTTTTGTCTATCAGATTTTAGGGGAAAAAAATGAAACTACTTTGTTGCTGTTAGAATTTTAACAAAGAAAAGGTGTGATAGGGAAAACAGGATGGGTACAATGTCTGAGAGAAACCAGAAATCAGAAACTTGGTCTCTACCACTGACCACACATTTGACTCCCTTCTCTGAAAAGTCATCTGGCTCATGCTTACTTGTGCCCAAACACCATAAACTGGGAGAGGAGTCAGGGGGCAGTATTAATTTGCCACCTGCTTTTCAAAAGAGAAGCAAGGGGCTGAATTCATGTGGACTGCACCATAAAGGGAAGCAAACTTGCACGAGTATCATTCTAGTTCTAGCTGATCTTTGATAACTAGGTATGTGACCCAGAACAGGCCCCTAACGTATGTCAGTTTCTGCGATCATAAAGCAGTCAGATGTGGAGTGAGTGGCAGGCAGAACCAGGTGTTCTGATTTCTGGTATCTCTCTGACATTGTACCCATCTTGTTTTCCTCCATCTTTTCTCTAATTGTCAAAGAAGGCCTTTTAAAAATAATTTATAAAAAGCTTCTTTTACAAAATTAAAAAATAAAAACAAAACACATTTACAGTTTTAAGGTATAAAGGAAAATTCCATACTCTAACTCCCATCCACAGTAGATGTATCAGAATAGTAATGACAAAGACTTACCCCTTGTATGCGAAGTTCTTCCTTCAGAGGAGCCAGGCTGCATTTTTTCCCCAGCATACAGCTATACCACCTAGGGAAAAAAAAATCAGAGAAGTAAAACACTGTTTACATGGTTACATTTTTAAATTAAGCATTTTTCACATGAAAAAAAATGGGAACTCACAGCAAAAAATTTTGAGTTAAGTTACAAGTAACAATAACAAAAATTTTTATTTAGACAAAGAGCAAACCTAGCAAAGGAAAACAAAGGTACCTGGGTGGCTCAGTCCATTAAGTGTCTGCCTTCAGCTCAGGTCATGATCCTGAGGTCCTGGGATCGAGTCCTATGTCGGGCTCCCCGCTCAGTGGGGGAGTCTGCTTCTCCCTTTGCCCCTCCCCCGCTGCTTGTGCTCTCTCTCTCACATAAATAAATAAAATCTTAAAAAAATAATAATAAAGTAAGGGAAAACAAGCCCAAAGCAACTTAAAAAAACCAAAAACCACTTAGCCTCTCCAATGATTCAGGGCTGTACATATTTGGAAAGAGAGTGAAAAAGAGAGACTCCCCTGTAACACTCAGAATAAAGGCCATTTGGCCTTTAGGACAGAAATTAGTTAATAAATAACAATTAAAAACATGTATACCTGAAACTACTACAGTGTTGTATGTCAAATTATACCTCAACTAAAAAAAGTATAAACACCCCCCTATACCATCTTAATAAAAACTGTAAAATCTGGCATGTACCTATACTCTGAGATGGCCTCATCTGCAAATGATTTAAGGATATGTATTAGTGTTTCAAAAGAATATGAAGTCAATTTCTTCTACAGTAAACACGAATCTAGAAGAGGGAGTGGGGAGAAGATGGAATGAACTGGTTAAAAGGTAAAATAGAATTCAGCCTATGAAAGATTAACTACTATACATTCTATCATAAGCAACTAGGAAACCTGGCAAAATATATGTAACAATTGTTTTTCAGACATTGGACAACTGCAGTGAAAACCTATAATCTCCAGGAGAGAAACCAGGTGAGTCCCATAATTGACAAAGCTTACTGCCTGAAGGAAATTTCCAAGCAGCAATGCAGGGAAAGGAAACTCAGAGTCCAATAATCTTGAATTGGTGAGCAAGAGCCTGGATTTCAAAGGCCCAGGCAGTAAGGATTTGAAGAGCAAAATACAAGAGAGGAAGGATGCACAGAAAGAGAATTCTAGGTATCTGCAGAAAAGTTCCCTGGAATATTTTACAGAATAAGGATTTGCACCTGTGAGGTGGAACTCCATGAAACTAGGGAAAAAATTCCCAGAGGGGCGCCTGAGTGGCTCAATCGATTAAGCATCCAACTTTGATTGCCGCTCTGGTCATGATGTCAGGGTCCTGGGACCAAGCCCTGCGTTGGGCTACACGCTCAACAAGGAGTCTGCTTAAGGATTCTCTCCCCACCCCCAACTCTCTCTCTAAAATAAATATTAAAAAAAAAAATTCCCAAAAAGCAATAAGCTGAACAATTCCTGGAGTCCAGACATAGCTAGACTAGTTTGCAGTTCTACTGGCCAGAGCAGAAAGCCCTTGTTAATAAAAAGGGCATCTATCTAGTGGAGTCCTAGAAAGGATACTGCTTTGTAATGAGTCTAGAGGCTATTCTATATTTACCCTATTGAAGCTTAAAAGTAAAACTCAAAAGGCTCAAAGATCACAAGTAACTTAAGCATCAGAATCTGACATTCTTTAAAGGAACGCGATGAAATACAGCACCCCAAAACATAAGTAAGATTTGCAATGTCTAGTATCCAATAAAAATGACCAGATATTAACAAAACATGGACATGGTGAGGAGCACGAGGGAAGATATAAAAACCAACCAAATGGAACTTTTAGACATGAAAATTATGATACCTAAAATGAAAAATTCACTGGATGGGATTAACAACATACTAGACTCTGCAAAAGAAAAGACCTGTGGAAGACACAGCAATAGAAACTATCCAAAATAAAGCACATGGAGGGAAAAAAGACTGGGGGAAAAAAAACACACACACACAGCACAACGTGACCTGTGGGACAGTATCAAGCAGCACACATTAAGTGGTGTTTCAGAAAAGGGGTATAATAATAATTAATTAGACTAGAAACAGTAACAAGAGAATCATAGTTTCCTTAAACATTTAAATCTTATATAAAATGTTTAAAGTATGATGACATTGGGAATGATATCCACCCTCCACTTTTATTCAAAATCGTACTAGAGATTCTAGTCAGTACAAAAAAGTGATAAAATGCATACAGACTGGAAAGAAAGAAAACTGTCTTTCTTAACAGAAGACATGACCATCTATGTAGAAATTTCTTTGAAATCTAGGGAAAAGCTACTAGAATAAATGAATTCAGCAAGGTCACAGGATAAAAGCTCAATATAAAATCGACTGTATTTCCTTATAGTAGCAATACGTAACTAGAAATTAAAATTTAAAAATTCAATTTACAATAGCTTCAAAATACAGGAAATACTTAGGAATAAAAACACAATATGTGCAAGAAAACCATCAAACACTGCTGAAAGAATTCTAAGATCTAAATAAATGAAGAGCTATGCCATGTTGGGATGAAGATTTAACATTGGTAAGCTATCAGTTCTCTCCAATTTGATCTATAAAAATTGATTAAAATCCCAACCAAAATCCCCATAGGATTTTTCATAGAAATTGATAAACTGATTCTAAAATTTATACGGAAATGAAAGATTTCAAATAGCCACAACAATTTTTTGAAAAAGAACAAAATTGGAGGACTTACACTACTGAATTCAAGACTTATTATAAAGCTCTGATATTAAGACAATATGGTAATGGCATAAATATAGACATACAGATCAAGAGAATGGAATGTAGTCCAGAAACAGACTCACTTATATTATCAGTTGATTTTAAACCAAGGTACCCAAAGCTTACTTTTCAAAAGACACTGTTATAAAATTAAAAAGGCAAACCACAGACTGGGAGGAAATACTTGCAAAATACATCTGACAAAGGGCTTGTATCCAGCATATATAAGGAACTCCTAAACTTAGTAAGATTAATAAACAGATAAAAAGAGATACAGGGAGACTTCTAGTTTCTAGTCCAACATGTAAGAAGTTAGAAGTCAGTACACTGTTTAAGTAAAAAACCTAACCATCTGAAAAACTAAAAACTCTTCCTAGATCCATCACAGAGCAACTCAAAGGGAAAACAACTGCCTCTAAAATTAGACCACCAGGTGAATATAAAGAACCACAACTCACTAAACAGAAATCCAGGAGCAAACCACCATGGCAATCATTGCTAAGCTAGGGAAACCTGAATTGTAACTGAAAAATTGCTGGAGATGCAGCATTGACAAGTCTGAGAAATAAAAACCCCAGGAGGACTCCACCATCAGGACCCCAAACTTCTGTAAATTTTACCTCCAGGAGCTTGACCAGGTCCACAATGAATATGGGAGAAAAAAATCTCTGTGCTTCCAGCAGGAAAAGAGAAAAAGGGGTAATTTTGAAATAGGCTAGAACATCCTGTTCTTAACAAGGCCCAACCTCAAGAGAAACTAGTTAACCAGATCCTAGCCTGTTGGGGTATTATGAGAACCTAACTGACCTGGAGGAATGGCATCATCCAACTCCAGCCTACTTTAGCAATCCTGTCCCAACAAGGGAGAGGGGGAGGAGGTAAGGTGGGACTGAGAAGCATGTGTGAAGTTCACAATCCAGAGGCACAGACTCACCAGAAGACGGACACCTACTCACAGGACATGTTTCCCCTCTCCCCACACCTCACCACCACATTACAAAGGCCTATTTATATTTACAGCAGTTCCTTCTACCCAGTATATTATGTCCTTCTATCAAGGAAAAATTACAGGGCGCCTGGGTGGCTCAGTTGGTTGAGTGACTGCCTTCGGCTCAGGTCATGATCCTGGAGTCCCGGGATCGAGTCCCACATCGGGCTCCCAGCTCAGCGGGGAGTCTGCTTTTCCCTCTGACCCTCTTCCCTCTTGTGCTTTCTATCTGTCATTCTCTCTCAAATAAATAAATAAAATCTTTAAAAAAAAAAAGGAAAAAAAGAAAAAATTACAAAACATACTAAAAGGCAAAAACAGTTTGAAGAGACAGAGCTAGCATCAGAACCATACATGGTGAGAGTGTTAGAGTTATCAGACTAGGAATTTAAAACAACTATGATTAAGACGCTAAGGGCTCAGGACGCCTGGGTGGTTCAGTTGGTTAAGTGTCGGCCTTAGGCTCAAGTCATGATCCCAGGGTCCTGGGACTGAGTCCTGCATCGGGCTCCTTGCTCAGCAGGGAGCCTGCTTCTCCCTCTGCCTGCTGCATCCCCCTGCTTGTGCTCTCTCACTCTCTGACAAATAAAATCTTAAAAAAAAAAAAACAACACAAGATGCTAAAGGGCTCTAATGGATACAGCAGAGAGCATGAAAAAACAGATGGGCAATGTAAGCAGAGAGGTGGAAATTCTAAAAAAGAACCAAAAAGAAATGCTAGAGATCAAAAACACTGTAACAGAAAGGAAGAATGCCTTTGATGAGCTCATCAGTAGACTGGACCCAGCGGAAGAAAGAATCTCTGAGTCTGAGGTTATCTCAATAGAAACTGCCAAAAGTGAAAAGCAAAGAGTAAAGGCACAGGAAAACAAAACAAAACCAAAAAAAAACCACAATACAATATCCAGGAACTATGGGACAACTACAAAAGGTATAAAGTATGTGTGACTGGAATTCCAGAAGAAAAAGAAAGGTGCAGAAAAAATATCTGAAACCATAATGGCTGAGAATTTCCACCAAGTTAATGTCAGACACCAAATCACAGATTCAGGAAGCTCAGAGATCACTGAGCAGGCAAAATGCCAAAAAAATTATACCTAAGACATATGATTTTCAAAATACAGAAAATCAAACATAAAGAAAAAATCCTGAAAGAAGCCAGAGGGAAAAAGCTACACTATTTACAGAGGAACAAAGGAAAGAATTACATCAAACTTCTCTTAAGAACCATGCAAGCAAGGAGAGAGTGGAGTGAAATGTTTAAAACACTGAGA